ACACACACACAAACACACACATACACACACAAACACACACACACACACACATGGTCAAGCAAATATGCACATGTGCGTGTGTGCTCCGCGGCTGTGGGGAAAAGGCTGACAGGCAAAAGGGGACCGAGAGAGATGCATCAAAAATGAGGGTAGAACACAGCGCGCCGGGCCGGCTCTCGCTATATGGCACACGTACCAAACGGGTGCCCGTGAAATAGGACTCCACACAGGCCAAGTAGCTGCGCGAGGCCATGTGCTCGGTGTAGTCGTCCATGCAGAGACACACCCTTTGAGCCGACTCGGCTGCCAGGCGCAAATCGTGGCGCTCATTTCGCCGGAGGGAGAGCTTGCGTGCACTGGGCGAACTCACATGCATGCCATACCCCGGGGCGTCCATCGAATGGTGGGCCCCGCCGGCTCCGCCGATCCCGGGAACCAGGGGCGAAATGGGCCCGGCAGGGGTGATGCCCCCGCCGGCCGCCATGGCCGCCGCGGTCGAGGCAAACCCACCGCCACCGGCCGCGATCTGCGCGGCCACGGAAGCCCAGCCGCTCGCGCCACCCGGCACCGGGAAGATCAGGGTCGGTGTCAGCTTGAGGATGGTCTCCACCAGGAGAATGTATCGCGGGACCCGCTGGATCGGGGCAATCAGCAGGTCCGACGCGTCGTAGCGCTGGCGACTGGCCAGGTCCTGGCTCCGGAGAAGCTTCTGCAACTCGGGCGACTTGGCGCTGATGCGAGCCCGGATGCCGGCACACCGGTGATATGTGGCCACATAGGCCACATACAGCTGGGTCAAATCCGGACAGGCCAGATAGTGGAGCAGCACATCGCCGATGCGCTGGCGTGCATGCCAATACACCAGTCGCCGGTGCAGGGTCTCCAAGAGGGCCTGGTGCTGCTGGGCAATCAGGCTCATGATGTGAAAGATATTCCGGAAGGCCGTTTGCTCGGTGGTGTGCTCGGTGGCCGTCAGGTGAAGGGCCACTGCCCGCAGGGAGCTGCCAGTGCCACCGGCTGCGCCGGTGCCGGCGCCGGCATCGCGCAATGTCGGCGACATGAGCCCCCCGGGGCCGGAGGCCAGGCTGCTGTGCGAGTGGCCAGCGGCCCCGGTCAAGCTGCGGCCCACGTCGTCCGTGCTGCTGCCCACCAGGAGGGACGTCTGACTGGCGCTGGCACTGGCACTGGTGCCGGAGGCCGATCCGCCGGTCCCGCCCGCGGGCCCGGTGTTGGCGATCTTGGCGATGCTGAGCAGTGGCTCGCGGTAAATTTGAATGAAGTTGTTCAGCGACTCGATGTACACCTCTTCGGTTTCAATGAGCTCGGTGATGGCCAGACGCCGGCGCTTCAGGTCCAACAGGGTGCGCTTGGCCCGGCGCGCGCGCCACTTCGACTGGAGGTACACCACCAGCCGGGGATGCTCCTGCAGCAGGCCCAGGAACTTGACCGCGAACGGCGTCACAAAGAGGGGCACCGCGGGCGTGGCCGGTGTCGAGGTGTGCACGCTGGCGCTCGACCCACGCCGGTACTGGACCAGGCGATCGGTCTGCGAGTCGCCCGGGCCCGATGCCAAGAGCGACGGCGACCCGGTGACGGCGCTCATGGAGTTGGACCGGACCGGCGGCCCGCCGGTCACCATCGGCACCAGCACAGTCGAGGCGCCCGGCATGAGGTGGGTCCCGCTGGCGCCGAGGAGCGATGCCCCGACCGATCCGCCCCCGGAGCCAGCTTCTCCCGACAAAAGGAGCGGGCTGCCATCCGGACCCGTGGCCGGGGACACCTCAATCAATGGGGGCGGAGGCATGGGAGGTGAATCGGTCACCGTGACCACGAGGGCCGCGCGCCGGGGCGTTGGCTGGATGGCCGGGTGGTGGCGGTGCGCGAAGGGCGAGGCAATGGCGGACAGGCACATGACGTGGTTCCAGGGGCCGGGGGGGGGGGGGGGGAATGTGCGCCGGACACGGTGAGAAACAGGCCAGGGAGGAGGGACATGTCAGGCCCGCGGGAAAGGGCACACAACAACGAGGGCCGATGCTGGCAGGCTCATGCGCGCATGAGGAAGGGGCGGAGGGGCGGGGAGGATGCCTGCCCACATGCGCCACTGCGAATGCCATCACATTGCCCCGTGAACAGGCGGGCGAGTGGGGGGGGATGGATGAAAAGTCGCACCTGCCCTGTGTCGGCGGGCGGCGCACGAGGCGAGTCACCCTGTGCGTCGAAGTACAGGCCGTCCGACTGGACAGATCCCGGCGAGGTGGTGTCCCCGAAGGGGGACGTCTTGTCCAAGGTGGGAGCCGCCATGGTGGTGGTGGCCGGCGTGGCCGGCGTGGCCGGCGTGGCTGTGGAGCTGGTCAGCCCGACGGCGGCCGAGCTGGCTCCCGGGGTCTGGACGCCGGACGCCAGCATCTCGGAGCTGCTTGCCTGATGGATGGTGTCCCGAGAGGGGGTTTCCACCAGGGTGTCCCTGCTGCGAGAGTCCTCGGCCCCGCTGCCGCGGGTGCCAGCCCCCTGGCTGGAGGAGGGATCGGCCGCGAGGGCAAGATTGGCCAGGGAAAGAGCCGTCGGGACCGTGGGCACCGGTGACCCGGGGCCGCTGGCATTATTGCCAGCCCCGCCAAGAGGAGACGGACTGCTGGGGGTGCCGTTGCCGCTGGACGGGAGCCCCGGTGACCGGGGGGCCTGCACGCGCCCACTCCCAGGCCCGGATGCTCGGGCAGCAGCCAGGGCCACTGCGGTGGCAGCCGAGATGATGGCAGCCTGGCGCGAGGATAGAACCGTCGGCGAGGCATTGCCTCCGCCGCTGGTGTTGACTCCGGCAGTCAGAGGGGGGGAGTGCTGGCCCGCCATGGCAGTGGTTTTGACTGTCAGGCCGGGCACATTGGCCGCGGCCGGCGACGCGGCGCGCCCCGGGGTGGTGAAGGAGCTGGCATCGGCCGCCGGTGGCGGCGGCGCGGTGGGGTTTGTCATCGTGCGTGCTGCTGGCAGGGTGAGGATAGAGTGGTGGCACTGGTGTCAGAGGGCGAGGCAGGGCGGCAGGAGGAGGGGGGGGGAGGGAGGCAATCGCCCGAAGAGCGGCCGGAAGGGCAGGCCCAGGAGCAGGGCACTCGAGGGGAAGCATACTGACGGACACGGTACCGTGATTGCGTTGGGG